CCCTTCTGGCTTGAGCTCACGACGAGCTGCACCTCCCAAACTATCGCTACCATCAACGCCAGTACCAGCAGCAATGTCGTCAATGCGATCAATACCCCCATCGCCATCCATACGTCGTTCATCTCGAGCAACAAGCCATCATGACATTTCAAACCTTGTCCGGGAATGGACACATTCGGGACCTGCAAATCGGACGGTTCTTTATTCACCTCGTTCATGATCAATTGATTCCTTGTACACTCGCCATCCATCGCTGTACTTTTACTTTTTTTTGATTCCGCTACACGTTGCAAGTATACCGTCATGATTCCATTCGCATTAACGTTACCAAATACATAGCTATCCGGGTATAATCCGCTGGGCATTGTGACGATTAATTTATCGTAGACGGAGCCTCCCCACACTTCAGGACGACCTCCTTCCCGATTGTATCTCTAGTGCATTCTTGTATATCTCTAGCTCTTCAATGACATTCATCAATGCATTACGCTCCCAGTTGCTGTAGAGGAAGCCCTCGTAGAGCATGGTTGTGCCCAGCCACGAGAGTGCGATTGTCACAATGACAAAGATGGGACTGATCCAAGCGTGAGGGAAGAAGGCGGAACCTACGATGATAGCGACCAACAAAAAGATGCACAATCCAAAGATGTACAGCTCGCGGGTACCTCGCTGTTTCGAGACACTGTAACACGTTGCAAGTGCCTGGATGGTTGTGGCTATGGACTCTGGGGAGAGTTCCGTAGGTTCATCGGACCAAGCGTCCTGAGAAGATTCGTGGGCATGGAATGTAGGGGAATCGAAGGGAGAAGGTGCTGCCGCTGTCGAAGACTCGGCACTTCCTTGTACATTCTCTATTTCGAGCGTCGCTCTGAGAGCGAAGTGATCCGAGAATGACATACCAGTTCCAGGAATGTTATGTCTCAAGGTGACACTGCAGTCTGTGGCTCGGAGAGTTGGTAGTCTCTTCTCTGCGTTATGGAAGTTCATCGGCGGGCGATAAAAGACGTAGTCGAGCCTCTTGCCTCCGAATTGAAGGGCGTGTCCGCCGAGAGGCTTCCCAGCTGACCAAGAGCAGAGAGGAGAGTCGGCTGTCACGCCATATTGCTCGATGGCTTCCTCGGCTGTGGGGCGAGAATCTGGAGGTGGATTGCCGTAGGGGTGTGTTACGAGCCATGAATCGGACACGTCTGTGTATTCACGAATGATCGCCATTGGAAGGGAGGTTGGAATACTGTTGTAGTCTCCTAGCTGTTGTATCGTGTCAGAAAGGGATTAAAACGAACGTGTTGTCGACATACAGCGATGATATATCGACCCATGCTTGCTGCCTGTTTGACTTGTTTGGCAAACTCCCATGCATTGACGAGTCGATGTGCTCTGTAATATTCCGGTCCATCTTCTCCTCCTTTAGCATAGAACTGTGAAAGAGATAATAAGTATTCGGCTCGCTGAAACGCATTGGGGCTCACATGCGTATTGAAGACCTGAACCTGTCCTAATATCGGATGCTGGAGTACGACGCTCACAGCAGCCTTCCCAACGAACCAGTCACCTCCAGCAACGTCAATAGGTTGACCGTTCAGCGAATAAGGAGTTGCAGTGCTTCCGACAATCGGGAACCGGGAGAATATAGCTAGACCTGAACCCAAAGCACCGCTAGACACGACATGAGTATCCACCTCCCCATAAACGAGTCTCGGACAACTCACCTATAGAAGAACTTGGAATGCGGCAATCGCTGAGCAATCTTATCTCGAACATGCTCATAGTCTGCGTAAACCCAAATCTCTTGAAGTGCAATAATATCGTATTCTTCGGAAGCGGCGAGTTCGCTGGCTATGGCTTCGATACGTTGTCTCCTGTTCTTCGACACGTACTTCAAGCCCCTGCGGGATAGAGGTGAGTCTATTTGCGTATTAGAGTATGAGAATGACCAGACCAGCAATTCTGGGTGAGCACAGTGATCTTGTTGTCTGCCATCGCGCGGCGGAGGCAAGGTGGAGAATTCGAAGACGATGATGCCAGCCGGCAGCTTTATATGTAAATTCCTGCCGTTGTAAGCGCCAGACCTCAAGATTTCGTTTTTGGTACTGAATCAGAATCATGTAGAATCGAAGGTTGCCAAGGGTAGCAGCTTCTTGGTACGACAGCACAAGGAATCTCATTAGGTCTACAGCCAAGTAAAGTATGTAGTATGTATGATCGTGGACAGGAGCTTAGTCTCCTCAATAAACCAATAATGAAGTGATAGATATACACATGAGATCAAGTCCATTCATGAAGAAAAATTGTCCGAAGGTCGCTTGCATCAGGTTTTACACGAGGTCCAATTCATAACTTAGTCATGGATTCCATCCCTCCGTGCAGGGTTTGTCTGGTCGTCTACTGTTCCTCCCTTTACACTCCAGCTTCCCGCAGTCTTTACACGGATTCGAACAAAAGTTTCTTCCACCTTTGCCTTTACACTCCGGAGATCCACACTTTGAACAATGTCTGGGGCTTCGCTTTCGAGGGGCTTCGCCGGTCATGAGGGATAGATGAGAAGTTGGTCCTTGCGACACGTTGAAATCTTGGCTAGTGTCTCCAAGACTCGCAGGACCAAATGGATAAGACCGTTTTGTGCCAAGTTCGGATGGTGCTGCTGTGCCGTTTCCGTTCATATTAGGAAGATGAGCGCTGGTGTTGACAGGTGCTGGATTAGGTGGTAAAGGCGTTGGGGTTCCAGGAGAAGAACTAACCAACGTCGGTGTTAAGATAGGTATTGTGCTGGGAGATGGGTGAGCAACGCTAGCTGAGGAAGGGTGCATCTTTGGTGAGACATTGTTGGGTGAGGCAAAATCTTGATGGGTAAACTGGTAGGAGGTGAAGTTCGGATTCGAAGGATGAGGATACACCGTCGGTGTATACGATGGCTGAGTGAATACAGGAGTGGGATTCTGACTCGCTGAGGAAGGCCCAGTTGAAGGTGTCGACGAGGGTACAATTGGAGGTACCTCAGTTGCTGATGACACAGTGGAAGAGATTGAATCTCGTGCCCCAACGACTGCGGTATTGGCTTTCCACGCATTATTGTAGGCATCGGTAAAACCCTGAAGATTGCTTTGATTAGTTAAAGGTACTGATTAAAGAGAAGACGCCTTTACCTCAGAACCCTGCTGGACGGATTTGTTGATTGTGCCATTGGTGTATCCATTTCCATTCACCATATTCCCCGATTGACTAGCATCCTCATGCTCTTCTACTTTCTTCTCCTCTTCGCCCGGATGTCCTCTCTGAACATTCCACAGCAAATCAATAATACCTTCCTTCTTCAACCCCGCCTTCAACGCGCCTCGCACCAAGTTCCAAAGCAACTTTGAAACCCCAGCGGCCGTCCAATTCCACACATCAGGCCCCGAGCCCGAATCAGTCTCATGTATCAACCGCGCTGGAAACTCATCCTTGAGCTTCGTCGGGAGCGAACGCAAAATCGAAGGATCAGTGCTCGCATATTTGCGACCTTCCGAGTTCTTGGAAGTCACACACGTAGCACTTTTGCAGACATATTCGCAGCCGATAACGAAAAAAGGCCGTTCAATGTCATAGATCTTGATAGGACCTGACTTTATCCGTCCTTGGTTTAATAAGGGGCTGGAACAGTTGGGGCAGGATATTCCGTTGAAGACTAGGGGTTGAGGATCCCAATAGAGGAAGCGATGATCGGAAGGAGTGCGGGCGGTCGAGGTGGAAGCCGTCAGAGCGAAATATGCTGGTGATGATGGTAACCAAAATGTTTTTAGGATAGAATATAGCGAGGGGATATGATGGTTCTGTGATGGACTAGGAGCAAGGGAAACCAGATGCGACTTGAACGCCTCTTCCACAGTAAGCGTCGATGTCGCCGGAACGGACGGCATCGACGTGAGTGAAATAAGCAGTGCAGTGAGAAACATGGAAGGTTTGCACCAAGCCAGCTCTGCCCAATCGTGATCGGGAGAAAAATTGTTGGATGAGGAAGGTCCGGCGTGATTTTGTGGTTGAGAAGTAGAAGCGTCATTTGTACCATTGGAGTATAGGTTGTGATTCTGGGGATCCATATGGTAATGAGAAATCCGCCACGTAAGAACAGAGGATGTTCGTACCACAGATAACGATGTCGGCAGGTCTGGGATATTATCAGAGTTTGCGCTCTTGCGAGGTCTAGACGGTCCAGCAGACCCTGCGGGTAGACCGTCCTTTCGGGGTCGGCCTACGGGTCGCTTTGCTCCAGGAACACTCTGCGGGGTAGTAGATGTTGTAGAATCCTTCTTGCCGCTCCCTTTGGGTCTGCCTGGTCTGCGCTTTGCAGGAGTTTCGGGGTTACTGGAGTGCGGCATACCCTCGACAGCCGGATTTGGATTAGCATTGAGAAAGGAATCGGGCGTCAAGTGATGGTTCGCAAAAGTTTGGGCATCTGAGGTGGATTGGATGGTGACATCCATAGTCGAACTGAGAACGAAGAATGCATCAGCGAGGTCATGATGGTTTAGGAAAAGGTTGACAAGGTTAGAAATTATGTTAGTCGACAGACTTATCCACCGGCAATGAAACGCGATAAATATTAAATTTCCAGGAGGATTTACTCACCGACCGGCAAGAGACCTCGCAAAAGCTCCAAGAAAAGCAAAGAATCGTAGCCAAACTCGATTCTCCTCGACAGAAATGGGTCTTCTAGAGATGTACGAAGCACCAGCTGGCTGCCAGTGTCTAGCTGGGATGAAGAACGAGAACTGAGACCGTTGGCAGATAAGCCGAATTTTGAGTTATTTTCTCGCTCGTTACCATATTTGGGTTATCCAGGAAATATAACTCATCATAAATATTTATTTTTCTTGTTTTCATGAAACCTGCAAATCTCGCTGGATCTTGAGAGAGAGTAAGCTAGAGACCAATGGCTTAATGACACCACTCAACTTTCATGTTCATTCAACCACGACAGTAAATTCAAGAGCCAAAAAGGATCATTGACGAACTATCCGTAATGGGGGTACCGCGGATCGAACGCGGGACCTTCAGAAAGTCAACTATGTCCTTCAGTCTGCTGCTCTCCCAGCTGAGCTATACCCCCAGATGTAAGCATTGTCACTCTTGCCTGCATGTAGCTGCCAGAAACAATGTCCACCACTAACAGAAAATTGACCAAAGTACTATCATACTACGCAGAACCAGCAGCTACTGCCTTAGCATGCCCCTCTCTAGTTCGCCACTCTCTCAACCAATCAACACTCTGCCCATAATCATTCCTATCCAGCAATGCCTGGGCCTTTGAAAGGCACCACCTAAGCCAGACCTTCTCCCTATTGAACACCTTTTCCTCGCTAATCTTCTTTCCGCGTTTGTTCCTCTGAACAATCTTGACAATCTTGGACTTCTCTTGACCTGTCCGTGGGGTCCGGTACGCTCCTGGGGTTGTGTCTTTCAAAAGTTCACGGAGAGATGGAAGAAGTGTGTTGACAAGGCGGACTACTGCCGGGCGGTTCGAAGCTGTGTTCGTAGACGCAGCACCTTCCTCGGTAGTGGACTCGGCCTGGGATTCCCCTGCTGCCTTGGGTTGTGGTGGCAGCATACCCCAAGCGGCTCTAGCAGCAGCACTCAATACCAAAGCTGAGCTGGTAAGATCCTGCTCATAGCTTCCGAGATCGTGCACCTCGTACAGCTTAGCTGCTACAAGAACTTCCTCGAGAGGACGCGTAGCATGGAGTGAGTGAAGGAGGTGCCGTGCTGCTGGCAGCGTAAGCGGTACACCGTATTTCGCATAGTTCCCAAACACGGTCAAAGCAAGGTCTTGTGCAGATAAATGTTCGCATCGTGCTGTCAAGGGCGTTAGTTAGAACACGAGAGATAGGTAGAGGGATAATCTTACCAACAAACAGCTGCCCAAATTCACCATCGAAAACCTTCTTACTCTCTTTCCACTTTGGCATCAACTCTACGACTTGTCCAAGCTCTGCCTTTGACTGAGCCAGCCCAACCAAATGCGTCCAAACGCTATGTCTAATCGGCTTGAGCTGCTTCTTTGCTTTTCGGTGTTCAGCATACTCTGCTTCCTCTGCAGGTGTCGGGTTTTTCGGAGGTGAAGGCAGGGGTGTGATATGCGGAAGCAGACTATCCAGAAGAGAAGTGAAACGAGCGTGTCGGTCCGCTGCAGAGAGCTTTTTGGAAGGAGCAAGCTCGATGGGTTTGGTGGCTGCTTTAGGCTGCTTTTCTGTGCTCGGACGTTTGGGTTCGGCGGAGAATAAGTCGCCTTCGTCCTGTACAGACTCGGAGAAGAGGTCTTCTTGCTCTTGAGCAATAGTCTTGGACTTCTTTTTCATTACTGGTATACATGTTAGTGTGGTCATTGAAAGTGAGGAACATGGTCTAACTTGCCTGCTGAGGATACATGTATTGCCCGTCTGCTTGCCAGACAAGGTCTCGTCCTTGAAGCTGCAGCGACATGGCTGGTGAAGAGACGAAGCATGACAGGCGCGTCGTCGTGAACGGAGAAAATTGGAATTGTGACAATGTCAGGAGCGCGGTGACAATTGTGTGAGGAAACTGATATGTAAACTCATTTTGTAGTAACCTGCAATGGGGGTATAGCTCAGCTGGGAGAGCAGCAGACTGAAGTCAAAATCTTCTGAAGGTCCCGCGTTCGATCCGCGGTACCCCCATAACAATTGCCAATTGCACGGGTAAAACTAATTTTTCTGCTGAAATTTCAGTGGGTATCGACACGTTCCTCTTTTTCCACTAAACAATTCGAAAGCAAGGTCACCGAATATTCCTCGGAAGCTACTCAGGCCTCAGAACCCGAGGACCACCGAGCACAGCAAGTGGGAAAATCGAAACGCTCGGCGCTCGCGGCCCAAGTGGGTCGTTCGTGGGTTTCATTCATGAATGTGGGTCTCCTCCGAGTCTCCTTCATGAATCAGCGAAAAGAAGCCGTGGACGTTCTCAAGCAATGTTCCAAATAGGTAAGAAATATCATTCATGATTCACTGTGGAACCTTCTGAAAGCTATTCAGACACGGTGCGAAATCACCTATCTTTGGATGCCTATCAGAGTTCAGTAACTCTATAAAAGCAGAGTCTTTTTGTCTGACATGGGAACTATCGTCTCAACATGTCCTTCTCCCCACAAAGCATCGCAGTTAACTGGTTAAACGACTTTGCCAACCATCTTGCAGTGGGGAACGTGCAGGGCGTTGCCTCGTGCTTTCACGAAGACGGATGGCTTAGAGACATCCTTATCTTCTCATGGAACAACCGCTCACTCGCTGGTCCAACAAAGATCACCCAGTATCTCCAGGAGAACCTGAAACCCAACGTCATCTCCAATGTTCGAATCGACCAAAAGCCTTTCTTAGCTCCCCAACTAGGGAAGATCACCCCCACAAAGGACGGCGTATCTGCAGGATTCACGTTTGATACCCCAATCGCGTATGGACAGGGTTATTTCACTCTCCTTGACGTCGGCGGAGGTGAATGGAAAGCCCTGACTGCGCTCGTGATGATGGAAGATTTGAAGGGTCACGAGGAGCTCGGTATTGAAGAAGGAATGTACGAAGGACACACAAAAGCCTGGGGAGATGTCAAAATGGAAAGGCAGGAACGCATTGAGAAAGACCCTCATGTGCTTATCGGTACGTTATAATTCCCTATGATTAGCACGACTGTTTTTCATGTGATGCCCGATAGTCGGTGCTGGTCAGAATGGATTGAACGTAGCGGCACGTTTCAAGCAAATGCAAATCCCATCGCTGCTTATTGAGAGGAACGCACGAGTCGGAGACAACTGGAGACAAAGATACCCAATGTTAACGTTGCACACACCAAAGTCTCAACACAGAAGTAAGCTATTCTTGTCAGAGACTCGCTTTCGTGCTAATGCTGCGCGTATCTAGTGTTATACCAACCTCACCCTGAAACATGGCCAATGTATACCCCGCGCGACAAACTCGCGAATTGGCTCGAACAATACGCAGATAACCAAGATCTAGTGTGTTGGACAAAGTCGAAACCTCTTCCAACACCTACCTATGACTTTACCACCAAAAAATGGACTGTAGACATCGACCGAGATGGCGAAACAGTGACCATCCATCCTTCTCATATCGTTCTAGCGACAGGTACCCTCGGTGCGCCTCGCATGCCGTCGTTCCAAGGCCAAGACCAGTTCGACGGAAAGATCTTACACGCCTGCAGCTATCCTGGCGGCCGCCAATTCACAGGGAAACGCGTCATAGTCGTTGGTGCAGGAAACACCTCTGCCGATATATGTCAAGATTTAACTACGCACGGCGCTTCTGTAACTATGGTCCAACGATCCACAACGTGCGTGCAAAGCATCAAGAATACACGAGCAGCACTCTTGCACACTTGGCCTGTGGAAGTGCCTCCGCACATCTCGGATATGAAGTTTGTTGCGACGCCACTTCCGCTGTTGCAGAAGGAGATGGCTCTTGTTAACGACCAGTGGCAGACAGTGGATAAGGAGATGCATGAAGGATTGAGGAAGACGGAGTTTGACCTTAATCTGGGTCCGGATGGGACGGGTGTGTTGATGATGGTCTTTGACAGATTTGGTGGTAAGTGGAGCATGTATTACTTGGTAATGCCACCTAAACTCACGATGTGGCTGCTTAGGCTACTGTATGGCTCATTCTGGTATTCATCATTGACGTGAACTCATTGTAACCTAGGGGTCGATGTGGGATGCGCTGAATTGATCGTCTCTGGAAAGATCAAAATCAAGCACGGCGTTGAGGTGGATAGGTTAGCGAAAAACGAGGTCTTCTTCTCGGATGGCTCGTCGTTACCGGCGGATGCAATCGTATTCGCGTGAGTTGTGCCACTTATACTCTGGGTTTACCTTCTGATGTGTGGCTTTGCTGCAGAACGGGGTACGAGAATATTCGGGAAGTAACGAAGAAGACTTTTGGTGCAGAGGCCATTGATATGACGTCTGAAGTCTGGGGACTCGATGAGGAAGGCGAATTGCGTGGCAGTTATCGACCTACGGGACACCCTGGGGTGAGTACAAAGTTACGGCGGTGGGAACAAATTACTGATACTAGCGGATGGTGGCTCTAGCTGTGGTACGCGTCAGGGGATTTCTTCAATTCTAGATTTTCATCCAAACAACTTGTACGTTCCTACAACTCCAAAGTCTGTCTTCCACCTAACAAGTTGTATAGGCACTTGAGATTAAGGCTATTGAGTTAGGTCTGATGAAATTGTAACACAATGAAATGATCAATACCCAATGTACAGTATTGCTTGGACTTGAGCCACAGGCCACTTGGTGCCACACTGACCTATGACCTACAATGGCTTGGCAAGTATCAACGAATTGAGCATCTGGGATTTTCCATTACCGCAAGTCTAGATACACCTGGATAGGTGAACATATAGTAAGTAGAAAGGACGCAAACTCGGTATCCTCCAAACAACTCTTTCAAAGTTGTGTAGGGAGAACAATGGCCGCGATTGAAGTTAGCGCCATTCAGGCACAAACGCTCATCCACAAATGCCACCCAAGCCTTCGATCGTCCATTGTTACCCTTGAGGTATGAATGGGTGGAGGTCAAAGCGGATGGCTTCTGCAGGCATATATATACTGGGAGGCAAGTCGAACCTTCCTCATCCCTCGCATCCCATCGCTTCTCTACATAGTCTCAGCAACGCTCAGCTCAGCCTTCGCCAACCATGTCGACCTCTTCTCTTGAACTTCGCTACAACTCCCGCGACGTAGTCCCTATGTATTCCAACAGTAGCTCCTGCCTTAAACCTCAGCTGTCAGCCTACATCGTCAAACCTCTCGGAGGACAGGTCTATCTAGGACTGGCAGGACCAAAGGGCAAAGAGCCATCAGCGGTGGCGCTGAAGCTTGCTAGTGGGCATATGGAAGTTCAACGCCTCAAGGTGGAGGCTGATATCTACCAGAAGGAGCTGGTGAGCTTGCAAGGAACGCTCGTGCCCAAGTTCTATGGGATCTACACGTCAGAGTACGATGGCGTCAAGAGGGCGGTCATGATTCTGGAACACTGTGGCGACGGGAAGGTCTCTGAGTTTATAGACTTCAAC